ATTTTAACCGTGATTTCACCTAGTGGTTGTGGTTTAATTTAATGTGTTTGTAGTTGCAAATACAAAATCACCTATGTATTTTTGGTTTGCCCGAGAGGGAGGTAACAAAACCAAGACCACTAGACCGATGGCCTAAGGAGTGGGTTGACATGAGGTTCAACCTAAGAGGGTGAGCCCTAGTCCCATATCCAAGTACCCTCTATCGAAAGGTCAGGATGTGGGTGCTGGTTAGTTTAGACGAGTGGTTGTCCGAGAGGAACCTATTTGATATGGGGTAAGTTGTGCAAGAGGGAATTTACTTTTACCTAAAGCTTAGCCTAGTCACCATTGTCTTGCGAAATTTACTATCAAAAGCATGTACACATTTAGCTTGTGTCAACATATATTAAGGTCACACCCCAAGAACTCTCTCTCATACTTATTTTCTCCTTTGTTTTTGCTATTTTACTACTTGTGACAAAACCTCTTCTTGATATTTGACACTTTGGTATCACAAATTAAACTTGTTTTGTTTTAATACTCAAAAACGTCTTGAGTTATCACTATTTAAAATGGAATTCTAAGTAGCTATACTTTCACTACCACTCCCTTGGGGCACGACCCTACCCCTTGGTTGGGCTACTTTACTAGCTCGATTCGTAGACACTCAAATTGTAGGTTAGTGTCGTTGATCACGAAATATAAAAGATATACGTATTGAAGCATCAACCTACAAAGGCTATCCACGGGGCGTTGATCATGAGTTTTTTGGACAATTTTAGTTTTTGTGGGGTCTTTGGGGTTAAGCTTTAGGGTCCTCCTCAAGGACCACTCTAAAGTCGTACCTTGATATTTAACCCCTAAACCCCTCAACCATAGCCCTGAACAACGTTCTACCACTTGAAACCCTATAACAACTCAAACACAAACTAGTTTGGCTCTAGTTTCACCTATTTGTTTTACAAGTCGCTAGAGTAGTCCTTCGGTTTGCTTAAAATGAAAATCCACTACCTTCTTTCCAACCTTATCCATGGGTATCTAATATTCACCAACTTTCTCACCAAATCTTGAACTTGCTCCACCATTTTGTTGTATGTAGTTTTTCCTCCATATTCCTTCTCTTCCAAAGTGTCCACATTATAAATCCTGGCATGGCTTGATGTATCACTTTTAGCTCTGGGATTTTCTTGTTTCCACCAAGTGATAATAAGTTGTTAAAGGTGCATTCCATAAATTTTTGTACCTAGAAGACTATTAAATTGCATCCATAGCCTAGAGGCTATAGGAGTTGTTAGAAAAAGATGTGACATAATTTCCTCCTTCTTTGTTTCACAACACCAACATCCAGAAATAATTGGAATGTATATTCTTTTCAGGTTGTCATGTGAAGCTATTTTTCTTATCCCATACCCTCCATAGCAAGAAATTCACCTTAAAAGGAAGTCTTTTACACCACATAAACTCATAATGTCTTCTACATTCCCTCTTCTGTCTCAACAAACGCCATGCATATTTAGCTGTGAAACTACCTTGAGTATTTTCTATCCACCAAGGTCTATCACTTCCATTCTTAATTATCTGGTTTTTTATGCTTTCCATTATATATACAGTCATGTCCTGAGATAGTTTTGTAAGTAACTTTGTCTCATTCCAACTTCCAGCTAGCACAAATCCTTGATCCCTATTTCTTCTTCTATAACATTTTCTCCTTCTGTAAAGTATAAAGATCCATGTTTTGTCCAATTGTCAAACCAAAAGCTTGAATTTCTTTCATTCACCTGCCGCCATATTTTGTTTAATTTCTTCCCTAATTGCATTCATTTTTCTCCATACATATGAGTGTTCTTGTCCTTTTGCCAATGTACGGTGAATCTTTTTACAATACTAGTTCCACATGTATGCACTCCATAAGGAGGATGCTGATGTTCTAAAGTTCCACCATAATTTTGCAAAAAAAGCTCATGACATGTCTTGTAATGATGTGAAACCTAGGCCTCCTTCTGATTTAGGGTAGCACGTTTTCTCCAAAGATATCCAATGTTTGTTCATTGACCCAATAAAATTCCCCAAAAGAATTTAGCAAACACCTTATGTAACTGGTGACCCCTTTTGGGGGATTATAGTTGAAAGCACATAGATTGGCATTGACTGATTACATGTGAAATTAGGACTTGTCTTCAATTATCATTTTATAAAAAAAATCATTTTAGTTTCTATATATACAATTTTCTGATACATATGAATTTTGCTCATCTTTTAGTATTAGGCTTACCCAATTAGTTTCACCTACAAGAGATTTAATTAGTACCTTGTGTATTTGATACCGATGATGAATTTTTTTTTATGAAAATAGATATAAACAACAAAACGACTCATTAATCATAAAGAATTTGAGAGCGGAAAAGTCGAAAAAGGATGCATGCTTGAGTTCTAAATCTACTGTTGGAAAAAGACCCAAAAGGGGAAGAAGTTGGATCTGTCGTTACACGACCATCACTATCAAACTTACAAATTTTCAATGTATCTCTTTTATTTTGATTCTTAAATTAGCCTTTGTGAGTGTTATTACTACTCTAATACATCATTGCTATAGTAGCCTTTGTTTTATGCAATATATCGTGTTCATATTTAAGGTATTCATATCTAAAAGAATATCTGATAAAGTTGTTGGAAACACATCTACAAACTCTCTTACCACCCGCGTGGTCTCAAAAGAAGATGGACCCTTGGTAAGACCACAGACATGAGCAAAATATGATAAGAAACCTTTTCCATAATACAACGATCAAAGATAAAATATATCACTCCTCTCAGACACAGACTCTAAGTACCCTTCCACTCTAATCAAGGTAAATTGGGATAAACTAACATCAAGGTCTTAGCAAAATAGTCTAGAATTTTGTACCGACCCAAGGTACACCTTAAACGTAACATGACATATAAAACCCGAGAGGGTAATTAAAATTTTTGAATGTAGTAAATTTTTGGATTGAAATCCTGGTTTGACCTTGCTAACTGGAATTTAGACGTAGGGCGTGAGGAAGTTTCTCACTATGATAGTCTTATATACCTTACTGATGAATCTATAAAATGCTAACATATGAAGTGCGGGGAAGAATTTTTGATTAAAAACCTTAGTTATCTTGAAGTGAATCTTGAACTCAGAGCCTTTAGATCTTGCGAAATTGGAGAAATCCCTTTCTTGGAGTTCTTGATCTTTGGAAGAAGGCGAATTAGGAATTTTGAAATTTGATATATGTATAATGATGTTATTAGGTTATAAGATGGACTCAGGATAGCTGATTGGGGATAAAAGGTCAAGAATACCCTTCTAGAAATGTAAGAAGACCATATAAGTCAAAGGGAACAAACTTTTTAATGAATCTCGTTGACAAAATCGGCGATCTGAAGGTCTCATCACCAAAATACTCAATGGATCACCAAAAGGGTCTTTACACCTAGTTGGTCTCATATTTTAAAGGGATAATGCACAAGTATCCCCTTAACCTATGCCCGAAATCTCAGAGACACATTTATACTTTACTAAGGTCCTATTACCCCCTAAACTTATTTTACTAGTAATTTTCTACACCTTTTCGGCCTACGTGTCACTATCTTGTAGGCTCAATGCTGGCACGTAGACTGAAAAGGGGTAGAAAATTACTTATAAAATAAGTTCAGGGGGTAATAGGACCTTAGTATAGTATAAGTGTGTCTATGAGAATTCGAGCATAGATTGAGGGGGTACTTGTGCATTTTCCCTATTTTAAATTCTATTTTGTTACAACCTTGTCGGTTCATATAGTTTTGACTAGTGGCCAATTGGCCTAAGTTTTATAGTTAAGATCTTCTACAATCTGTTTCTCGATTCAATTAGTATCGAGGTTAGTCGCGCCCTTCGCCAACTTTAAGGTATCACAAATTCGGTATCAAGGCGAAGTCATGTTCTTAGAAGTCTATAAAGTTGTGTCTTGCCGATTCTTGATTATGGATATGTTGTGCATCATACTTGTTGTAATGGCTAAAAGACATTTAGGAGTATTTCATGTCTTTCATTGATAGTTCGTGCTATAAAGCAATGTCATTAGGTTATAAGATATTGAATTTTTGTTATTATTTCAGAATGTCGAATTCTAAAATCAAGCTTCAAAATTTTAATGGTTGAACATCGAAGAAAACCAAAAAGAAAATCAAGAAGGAAGAACGATAACAAAGAAGAACAAGCCATTAATGGCCATAAGAAAAAGAAAAAAAAACAATGTGCTATATTTCGGGAAAATATTATGACCAAATCATTGTTTGTAATCATAAAAAAAAAATTGTACAAATATGTTGAGAAAAATTATGGTCCGCATACCTATTTTTATGTAAAAAAAATAGAAAAATTCATTGTATGTGATATATTTTAATGGAAAAAAGGTGAAAAAATAAGTTAAATGCGTTAAAATGTCCACAATAACTTTTTTTTTTCGGTAAAAAGATAGACCCTCAATAACTTTAAGTGTCCACTTAAGAATAATGTATGATTTTAGGGGATATTTTACGTATTTTCTCGCTCTAACTAGAGTTACCAAAGCAAGATGATAAGATTCATCGACCAATTTTTTTAAAATAAAAATATTTTGAAAATCACAATATATGTGTCTGTGGTTCAATTCCAAAAGTTATGTTTTCTACATCGGTGATTATTGATATAAAAATGACACAAGCTAAGATGATATCTACGCCAAATCAACATCATAAATTTATTGCAAAAAATCGACTAACAAAAACGAATATCCAATTTTACATTCAAAATATTATGTCATGAAATTAACGATAAATTTTATTATTTAACTATAAAATAATATTTCATTACGTACCAATCTTCCACTCCCTCATCCATGACTTTTACATCCTCCAATCTACAATCACGTCCTTAATAAACTGAAGCACCAAAGAAATATATAATGAGAGTAGTAAAATGTTAACGTGCAAGAGACATTTTGCTATGATGGTTGAAAAAATTAATTAGTCTTAGAATTGGGATTTAAAACGTAATTTACACTTGTCATTACGAAAAAGTGCAAATATCCTAGGCAAGTCACTCGCGCTCTATAGACAGACTACCGCATCATTTATTTGCCCTAATCCTTCTCTTTCCTCCATAGAACTGAAAAACCCCGAAACTCGTAGAGAAAACCTCTGCAGCTTTTCTCTACAACGATACGAAGAAGCCTCTCCAAACTCTTCGTCGACCTCTCGTCCTCCGCCAGGTTAGTTCCTTTTTCCGGCTTCTCCACCGTCACCTTCTACGTTGTCGGAAACAACAATGCTCACCTTTTGTTTTTGTATTCTTACTTTGTTCTACGTATTCCATCTCTAGGTTATCCGCTTTTAATTCTTTATTCATCCGAAGTTCTATGTTGGCTGGTAGGATTTGTACCCTAAACCACTGGCTTGTATTTGCCAGGATTTTGTAAAGTTTTATACATTTTTCGAGGTTTAGAGTGTAGATTTGTGTTCTGATATTTGAAATTCTGGTCTGTATAGTCGGATTGAGGATTATAAGTAGTGTGCTGCGTACCGCCAGTTGCAATTGGTGCAATTTAATGGCGTTTGTGGATATTTTTTTTATTGCTAAGTTCCAACTGCGCAGTCATCTGTATTTAAATTTTAGCTTGTTTGCCCTAATAGTAGGATAATAGGGGAAGTAACTTTTTGCTTTGACTAGGTTTAGAGTATAAATATTTCAGCTCTTTGTTGTCTTGCCCTCTGTTCTTATCGGAAGTGACTTATAGATGGTTGAAATTGTGCTGCAAGGAAGTTTCTCATTAGCAAACAACTAGAGTAGACCTGATGTTTAAGGTGACTTCATAAATATAGAAAGAAACAAGAAAAAGGAAGAGGAGGGTATATAACATTTTACTCAATACACATTTTGTGATATTATTTTGTTCAATTAGTCATTGTACTCGCTCTCTGATCTATTTATATGTATATGATAGGGAGCAAATGTGTATAATGTTAATTTTTTCTTTGTTTTTTCTAATATCAACTGCTGTACTAATCAGTTTTGCCTGTGATGTAGAAAGGTTTCAAAACTATGGGCGAAAGCGAAACTGTTGTAGCTCAAACCTCGTCAGTCACTGATTATATGTCTGCTGCTTATTCGTCAATAAATCCTGATGATGCTGGTGCCCACGCTTCTTCTGATGCTGGAAATGCTGGGGATCTGGCCACTTCATGTCCAAATGGCCCAGGGGAGTCAGCAGCTACTAATGTAGAAGCTGGAAACACTTATTCTACTGATGAAGTGTCTACCCAGCAAGAAGCTGCAACTGCTATGGCATATGACGTGAGCCAGGATCTTGCAGCTCTAGCAAATGCACCTGCAGGCTCATCCCAAGTTGCTGATTATGAATCTTCTGCAAATGGTAATACTGCTGAAGCAAGAGACATTGCAGCAGCTGGAATTGCTGAAAATGGGATTGCAGCAGACGTTCATGGAAGTTCCAATATGCATCAGCCAGAAGATGGCTTAGGTATAACTTTTAACTGTTCGGTATCCTTGTGTCATCATCTGTTGCAACTCCTGCAATTGTAAACTAATCAAGAACTTCATTAGATGTTAAGGGATGCGTATTATCAATTTAATTAGTCAGAAGAATCATAATACAAATGCATGATTCTAATATAAATCTTTTTGTAGACATTTGGATTAACTAGTTGATTTCCTATACAAAATCTGCATAAACTGAAAAGTTACGCTAGGATGCTACCATAGCGCGTCTCTATGTGAATGACTTTATTGGTTGGTAGTTGTTTGTTTTCCTCAGTAGTCTTTCACATTGCTACCAGCTGCTTTCCCCAGTCTATTTCCTTTTACTTCTTCCTGCAGCATGGTGTCTACTCCATCAATTTTGTTGTCTTTCTTAATCTTTCATTTTTTTAAAGTTCGAAATTTCCTTCTATGTTTGTCCTTTTGTCCCGAATGTTAGTTGCATCAACAGGTAGTGTACTTACTAGCTATATTTTCTTTAGCAGCTTTATCTCCTGAAGAGGAAAGATTATGGAGCATAGTTAGGACAAATTCTTTAGACTTCAATGCTTGGACTGCCCTTATTGAGGAGACGGAGAAGATGTCGGAGGTACTTTTAACTGACCTTCTGTTAAGGGGATTTGTCATCTCGGCTTTCTTCATTTTCTGGTCTTCGTTTTTGTTTATTGAGAAAAGGGAGTTTCTTATCATTTATATTTCAATTTGCTTTGCTTATTGTCCAACTGGTAAGAAACTATCTAGATAGGTACTGTCTTGTCTGATATTTTGCAAGAATTACACCTGACTTTCATGCTAGGGGGGAGGATAGCGTGTAGCACAAAATTTCTCAAGTACATATAATTTGGGTTATATTCCTGGCAAATAGTTTCTAAGCTATAAATTAATTGCCTATGCAAATTATTGCAGAAGCCGTGCCAAAAGCATTTTCTTGCCTTACCTTGTATCTTTTTATGTTTTATAACTTCTCGTTAGCTAAGCTGAGTCTCCTGTTCTCAAAGAACAGAGCACTATGGTGTTGGTGGTATTCTGACTCTCTTCCCATCCATACCATGTGTTAATCTACTTGGGAATTTTTTTTGGTGGTGTCCATGTCTTAAGCTAAAATTACCACTGTTCCAGGATTGTAATCAGTGACACATACCAGCCAGAAGACACCATTTTTTCATTAGCAAGAGATTTAACAGTACAATAATGGTGGTGGTGTGAATGCTCTTATTCCTGTTACTTTCTGCACTTCCCTTTTTTGGTCCCTGAAGATTTGATCCATTTTCATTAATTAAAGAGCTTTTTATTTCCATGAAGTCAAACTAGTACACATTTATATAATTGATTTTAATATGGTGTATCTTGGATGAGTTGCCTAACATTTAGCATGACTTAGTCATAGACTCATAGTTAAATTTCTCAATCTTTACACTAAGCAAACAAGCTCATATACAACATGGAGTGTGTATTGTTCTTTTGTAAGCAAATTTTCTATGGGTCAATTTTCTTGCTAAAATAAGCTTGTGGCTGTGATATCGCACAACTTGTGGTTACAAATTTCCTCAATGCTGGTTGTTTTGCATTGTGAAAATGTGTAGGGCAACATTTTGAAAATTCGGAAGGCTTATGATGCATTCTTGGCAGAATTTCCTCTGTGTTACGGTTATTGGAAGAAATTTGCAGATCATGAGGCACGTCTTGGCTCTGGTGACAAAGTTGTGGAGGTCTATGAACGAGCTGTTCAAGGTGTGACATATTCGGTAGATATGTGGTTGCACTATTGTGTTTTTGCTATAAGCACTTATGGAGATCCTGACACCATTAGAAGGTAATGCCATTGCTGATTTGATTTGTTCTAGTTTTATATGGGAGATCATCAGCACTAGATGCTTATAAATTTTTTCTTTGTACCAAACTATATGATCTTTCAATGCTCTCTGACCTGATTTCAGCATGTCTGCAACAGCTCTTATTCATCTACATGGCGTAAGGTTTGTTTGGATTGCACTTCAGAATTGTATGACTGATGTGCAATCCACATGATTCTATGGCCTGCTTAGTAGCCATATGAATTTTCTTCAGGATTCAATTCAATTTTATGGCCTTATTCTCCCCCTTATATTTTACCTGTCCTTAGGGCTGTGTATAGTCCTGTAGTTCTCCATGATATTTTGCTGTTATTACCGTCGCACATGAGATGTATCAATAAACACATTGCTGCTGAGAAGATCTCGTCAGTAAGGCTAAGATGCCCTCTCTGCACCTTCCATGGACATTGTAAGATTGTTTCGAGGAAGGTAAATGCAGCATATTTGTGGGAGTGTCTGCTCTTTGAGTGAATTAGTACTTTAGCTTGAACTCTCATGTACTGCATTTTCTAGAGCCCATGCAAAGGCATGCATGTGTTATTAATCTTATAGTACATTGTTCTGTTGGTTTGTTAGGTTATTTGAAAGAGGATTAGTGTATGTTGGAACAGACTACCTGTCCTTTCCACTTTGGGATAAGTACCTGGAGTATGAGTACACACAGCAGGCTTGGTCGAATGTTGCTGCTATCTACACACAGATATTGCAGAATCCAAATCAGCAGCTTGATCGCTATTTTGAAGGGTGATTATCTTCCTTGAAGCTTTATTTTGCATTTTCATATTCATTCAGGGCCTTCAGATTATCTGACAGTATCATTCTGCTTGTCTTGTGGAAAATACAACATTACTTATTTAATTATATAAAGAAGCTTAATCCCGTTAGCGGTGTCTTTCATTGGTTTTACTTGTATAAACATATTGCTTTTGAAAACTTATGTGTTCAAGTATGGCAATAAGTTTTTGTCTGTGTGAAGGAATATTGTCAATTACTAGCAAGTGATCAATATAGCATATAATGCTAACCTGGGCCTGCTCTTACCTTTTAGTGAGAAACTATGGAGAGTTGAAGTTCCATGCTAGTTTTTAAAAATCCACCTGTAGGAGCATCAATCCTAGCTAATTCAGCTGGTGGTCTTCAAATATATTTCAGACAGGTCAACATGTACTATTTGAGGGTTTAATTATATACAGTTTCAGTGTAGTGAATTTTTTGTTGATACAAGAAAATTAGTTGATGTAAAACTGTTTCTTTCCATGGTAATTCTATCTGCAGTTTCAAGGAGTTGGTGGCTAGTAGGCCTCTAACAGAGTTACGAACTCCTGAAGAAGCTGCAGCTGCAGCTGCAGTAGAAGCTGGGGACGAACAGATTGAGGGTGAGGATAATCCTGGTTCTGAGCCTTCTAAACCTGTTAGTGCAAGCTTAAAAGATGCCGAGGAGTTGGAGAAGTATATCACCATTAGAGAAGAGATGTATAAGAAAGCTAAAGAGTTTGATTCTAAGATCATTGGTTTTGAAACATCTATAAGGAGGCCATATTTTCATGTGAGGCCTCTGAATGTCGCAGAGCTTGAAAATTGGCACAATTATCTTGACTTTATAGAAGGAGGAGATGACTTCAATAAGGTACTTGGGTTTGGTTATTTTGTGGATTTCAGTTTCTCTTTATTTGTAGCTTTAGTTGCCTTGCTATACATTTATTTACAGTTAAAAATAGTATCTGCTGCCTCATTTGCTATATTGGCTAAATCATCGGAATGAAGCATCTTTTTAAACGGGATATTGAACTTGGACTAACGCATGGGCCATCCATTTGCTTTCTATACGGCTAAGTACTTCAAACCCTCATTTGTGAGTCGACGTTCTGGGTTCATGATCTGTTGTGTAGTGGAATATTTGTTTTGAATTTCCACTGTTATGCATGCAGGTGTGTTCTTATCTTCCTAACCATGTCAGGCTAGATAGGTCCCACCCTTTTGTATTAGAGGGGCCCTGTTCCACCAGCGGAGTACTCCTTGTGCATCATTCTTTAGTCCTTTTAGTTTTTTGTGTAATTTCTTTATTGTGGCAGAGTGTAAATCTGCGTTAAGCCATTTGTTACTTGTGCAAGTTAGGTGGTCAAGCTGTATGAGAGATGTTTGATTGCGTGTGCCAATTATCCTGAATATTGGATTCGGTATGTTTCTTGCATGGAAATAAGTGGAAGTTTGGATCTTGCCGATAATGCCCTTGCTCGTGCCACTCAAGTCTTTGTTAAGGTAAAATCTTGGTCTCTTCCAACAAGATACACTCTTTGCTTTTAGGGGTCAACTTCTGCATCATATGCTTGATAGTTTTTTTTTTTTGACAAATTATATGTCTCTTTGCTTGCCTGGTTTAGCAATTTAGTGGTTATTAATTGTTCATCTCAAAGTTTAGTATTAAAAGATATTGTAAGATTTCTCTTCCCTCATAAACTGTCTTTTCTATTGATTGAAATCAGTAAATATCTTTTGAAAAGTTTATTTTTTTTTAAATATACAATGAGCACAAAGATCAAGCCAAAAAACTTACAAGCAACCTCAATTCCTTTACATTACTGCTGGAAGCTGAGAATTGCCAACATTCTATCCACCATTGTGTTTACATAAGTTGAGACCAAAAAAGCTAAATAGGAGATGCATCTACATATCAAGATATGAATTCCTTACATATCACCTCTCAAATGCAAAGTGGGATCGTATTCCAGATTCTATTCTTATGTTTCCCAATAACTTTTCTGTTCAACATTAATGAAGCTGCCTAACATATTGAAACCTGATATGTGAGCTACATTGTGACCATAAATTATTAGCATCCTCCCCATTCTTTTCACAAAGTAGGCGTCCGTAGACTCGTACAAAGGGGCATGCCTCCTCTGTAAAGACTGTTGAGTGAATACAGTTTCATGAGGAAGTGTCTAGCAAAAATGAGCTACCTTGTATGGTTCCCTTAGTCTTCCAAATAATGGGATCAGTATTTCCCTCTTTGTTCTTTTTATAAAAGAAATATCTTGACATAGAAAGGTTGAGCTCCGGGGAAACCAACGGTGGCTGTAGTATGGAGTGGCTGCAATCATGGACAGAAATAATCAATAGTTCTTCCATCTCATCAAGTAAATTGTTGATTCATGACCAAAAAAAGGTGTGCAAACTGTTGCCCCTTCGTGTTGCTTGCTTGCGAAGTTGCTCGGACTCGGGTGTGGGCTATGTTGCTCGGACTCGAGGGCAGGTATCTAAGATGGGTGCGAATCTGAGAGTTGGATTTGGCAAAATATAAATTTTAAGTTTTGGGGTTATGAATCCGAGTATGGATACGGTTGCGGGGATTCAACTAAAATGTTCAATATTATAAAAATAGATTATGAAGATGTTCTAAATTTGAGAGATATTTGTAGAATTCAATTTGGAGTCAAATGTAGCAATACTTATCCTAGTCTTATCTCCTAAACTATGATAAAGCTAAAAAAATTATGTGTAAATGATAATATTAAGATTTATTGTCCAAGTCATTAAGGGATTTTTACACTTCATAATAGTCCAACAAAGTCCACAACACTAATTATACAAAGATTAAGCCCATGAAATGTAAAATGTTATAAGAAGTTGTTGAGCCCAAATGTTTAGTTGCAAACCATGAAGGGTGAAGAAGACTATAAAAAAATCTACCCTAGTTTATATATCTTATTTCGTTTTCCTCGCTAGTCGCCACTGACTCTACGAATACAACATGACCTCAACCCTAGCTCATTCATACTGTCTCTCTCTCTGCAAAGATGCTAGTGAAGTTTGATCCATCTCAGGTCCCCTCTCTCTCTGCCAAAATGCCGCCAAATTTTGATTTGTTTCAGGTCGTCAAGTTTTTTTGAAATTCTCAATTTCCCCCCAAATTTGTTCTCGACTCTGGTCAAAGTATCCGAATGGCATTGACCGAACCCGCACCCGCACCTGCACCAGTGTTGTGTCGAGACGGGTTCGACAGCCAAGATGAATAGTCTGTGCAACATAGTTGGATTTGGCAAATTTTAATTTCAAGATTCAGGGGTACGAATACGAGTATGATATGGGTGTGGGGATTCAGTTAAAAATATACAATATTATTTATATAGTTATGAAGATATTCTAATTTGAGAGATATGTAGTAATAAGCTTACATGTAATGATTAAAACTATTTAAAAGAATATGTAAAGATTCTGATCAAAGAATAAACAATTTAATAAAAGGGTTAATTATGTTCAATTAGTCATTTAAAGGTATAAATTAATTATCGAAATTGACATGCTACTAATGAATTTTTAAAATAATTATAACTCCTTTTATAAGAAAGAAAGTCATAAATAGGACTTTAATATTTACTGTCAGTTTGACGATTTAAGAAATAAAAGCCTTAATACAATAAAGATGGTACAATTCATAATTAGAGTCATGTTCGTTTCTTTGTTCTTTTTCAAGATATTATCTTTTGGCCGGTTCTCTTGTTTTGGCCTAAACATGAAGCAAACCCTATGAAAAAGTGGAATCAGATCTCGTGTCTTTAGAAGCTTGTCGCTGATCTGAAGACGTCGCCAGCAAAGTTCCTTTTGGCGACTGCGACTTCTGTTAGCTATTCTCTATCAACTTCGTCGGAGAAAATGTCGTCAACTTTCAGCAGCGATGAAACTGTTCTCTTCTTTCCCAAGTTTGTTCTCAATCCAGCACCCGTGCCCACACCAGTGTCGCGTCAAGATGGATTTGGCTGCAAAAACGAAGAGTCCGCAACATAGCTTGGTTGTCTGTTATCTTTTAATTTTAGCATAGATTAGAGATGACTTGTCAATATATTTTCTAGATCGGGGTTGGAGATTGCCCCATCTGAATAATCTGAAATGAGCAGCTCATAAAGCTAATGCCGCAGTGTTGCACTGGTCATCTGCTGATAAACTCGCTTGCTTATCTGTCATCCTGTAGTCTCAGCATTGACATTGCTCTTTCGTAGATTTCTTAGCATTGAGAAGGTCTGGATTTAATGTGCTGGTTATTCTAGTTTACCCATGAGGTCGTAGGCAATCTTCTCAATTGAATTTTCTTTCAATGTTAGTGCTGGGAATAATGGAGATAAGTTAAATAAGTGGAAGTGCTAATTTATTATAATTTTTGTTGTCTTTTGACAAATTTACATTTTTCTTACAAAATAGGTTTTTAAAGTAGTGAATCAAGTAGTCGTCGTTGATGAATTCCTTTTGGTTTCTAATGTTTTTTCACTCATGCTATATGTGATCCTCAAGGATTATAATAGGCTGTTTTTATTTGCCAAGAGTTTGAACTTGAAAGGGTGGAAACAAGTTGCTTTAGTTTCTAATGTCCATGAAGTATTTAATCCTGTGTACTGTGTAGAGCTGTTCCCTTGAGTGTTGCCCCTCAAACCTACTATATTGTATCATCAAACTCATTTGTCCATCTTTAACAGAGGCAACCAGAGATTCACCTTTTTGCTGCTCAATTGCGGGAGCAACGTGGCGATATTACTGGTGCTCGAGCTGCATATCAACTTGTGCATGCTGAAATATCACCTGGGCTTGTAGAAGCAATAATTAAGCATGCAAACATGGAACGTCGACTTGTAAGTTTGTTTTGGTCATGTACTATGGTTTCAGTACCAGCTTTGATTTTTGTTGACTTGTCCGATGTATCTTTTTTTTTTTTTTTTTTTTGAAGGGGAATCTTGATGATGCCTGTTCCATATACGAACAAGCTATTGCCATTGAAAAAGGGAAGGAACACTCACAGTGTCTGCCATTATTGTTTGCACAGTACTCTCGGTTTTGTTACTTGGTAAAGTTCTTTTTGTCTTGTGTTTCCAGTTTTTATATTTTTGACTCAATTAATTGGTTACTGCCGTTTCAATCTTGTTGTAATGTACCCCTTCCCAGTTGTGGCAAACAGTTACAGATATTGCTCTCTTTCAGATGTTTGTGGAAATTGATATTAATATTTTGTTTACCAATGTGCCTCTTTTTTGTTTCTTTGGTGGGTGGGAGCACGTGTCATTATCATTTCATATCTCTCCATTTCAATTTGTTTGGCTTACTTTCGTTTTTAGTTGTTTGAAAGAATGTTTCTTTCTGAATTTGGCAACGCTTTAACTCCAACATCCCACAAGATTAAGGCTTTTGGTATATTATACGATATTTAGTTCAAGACTATAAGATTTACGAGTCCTATTTACTTTCTTAAACTCCATGCCCGGTAAAATTAAGGCACATAAATTGAAATGGAGGTAGTAACAGAAATATGTATGTATTTTCTGCTCATTGCAACATATGAATGTGGACATTCCCTGTGCACTTTGTAGAAGGTGGCTCCTCCTCCTGTGGCCTTGTAGATAACCATATGGAATGCTGTTAGTTGATTGGTCTAGGATGATATATGGAACTTCTACCTTGGAATGTTGCATTCATTGTATCTAGTTGTGGATATATGAGACTCCTGTTCTTTAAAATTGCAGCATATATTTCCAGAAATATGGAACTCCTGGTCCTTTCTTGAAATTTAGAAGTTATGGGTCAATATTTTCTTGTTCGTTTTCTCAATACTGTTATCCTAATTGACCAGTTCTCTCCTTTTTTGGTATAATATCTAGATGCATTTCCTTATTTTGTTTAGTTTAATCTCCAAATGGACTTCCCTATTCTACTTTTCATATTACTAAAGATATCTGTTTTGTGGAAGTGCATCAAGATAATTTATGGTGCAATACCGACCTATAATAGTGAAACAGTTATGACCATATCCTGTCACAATATTCTACTTATCAAATGATTCTCAATCATTTTAGTGATTTGTCCACTTTTACACTCTACACTGCCCTTTCGAAGGCTTTCCAGTAGAAAAAAAATCAGAATAGTGTAAGCGCATGGAGTCATTAAGGGCGTTTCCTTGATACCCGGTATTATTGAGTGGTGATATTGTGGAAAATATTCTTCTCTCTTCAATGTTCCTCATGAGTAAAATCATTTAAATATTCATCCTCCTTTGGCTCACTGTCACAATTTCTGTTGGAAGGTTTCTGGGAAGGCGGAAAAAGCTAGGGAAATTCTTGATCAAGCAGTTGAGAATGTCCAGCTGTCAAAACCACTTCTGGAGGTTTGTCTGTCTTTTCTCATCCAAGGGCATAAACTGTGGAGAAATTGGTGTTTCTTATTGATGTGCTCTTTTCATGTAATATGCAGGCACTAATCCATTTAGAATCCATTCAGTCACTCCCAAAGAGAGTAGATTTGTTGGATTCATTGGTTGATAAGTTCTTAGTTCCATCTCCTGAGAACCCTAACGTTGCAAGTGTTGATGAAAGAGAGGAATTATCAAGCATTTTCTTGGAGGTACAAACTGTTACATTTGGGTACTTGACTGTTCTTTGGGTCTGTGATGTACTCTTAATGTTAAGAACAAATATGCATTGTGTTGTTCTCATGGGAACCTGGAGTTGTTTAAATTTCTGATCCTGGCCAAGTATTCTTAGAAATGCTTTCAGTTAAATTTTCATGTGCTGGACTAACTGGTAACACACCCTTGAACTAGTATTCCTGTTGGATGTTTGCCTAGGCTACAATATGTTTAATGCCTTTAGATACTTTTCCAAGTTTGCAATATTGTGTAAAATGGAGTTAAAATTGTCGTACAAATTTTGTTTTTAGAAAGGGACACTGTTGTCGGACCTCCCAAAAAGTAGCAGGCCACTATCTTTGTGATGTACGAAGTAAATACATATCAAGTTCAGTATGGAGTTTGTGTACCATGTTGCATTTGTGGTCAAAATATCGAGTTTTAGGCTAAAAACATCCTTAAACTATGACTCAAAGATAAAATACATCCCCGTGTTATTATACTAAACAAAACACGTCCCTTGACTAATTTAAAGGTTGCAACAATCACCCTTATGTTTAGTTTCTGTCAAAAACATATGCCTCCACCTCAAATATCCCTATTCTATTCTTCCCTTTTGTCTTCAACAATCTTTTCTTTCCTTCTGAAAAGCCTAGAGCTTTTCGATGGAGAAACGATATGCTCAACTCTTTACACCATTACCAATTGAAGAGCTATAGCTTTGAAACAATTGTATTCTACGCTATATATAGTTGTGCTTCACAAATAAAAGCAAAAATCAAGTCCATAATTTTTCTCTATCCAACAGTGTTTCAATTGGTTAATGTGATTGATGAGTGACGTTAATTAATTTTTGTTCTCTTCATCTCCTTCATCTTGAAAAAGATTAGCTTATTTTCTGAAGGAACTACAAATAACCACACAATACCAAATATCTGCTCAGCTAGTGTTAAAATGCCTTTTACGTGTTAGGTAAAATGATCCAAAGAAATTGAAAGTGTTGGTATGACTATGTAAAATTCACTAATTGTTTCCATCATAAATCTTTGCCATTTGTGTTGATTAAAAGGTCTGGTTGTATTAAAAGGAAAAAAAGGAATAAGCTGAACGGTATGTATGTTTAAACCGCAGATGAAGAAATACTCCTCCCATCTTTTTCCTTTTCATTACACCTCAGTGATTCTTTCTAATTGTGCATAATGAGTATTCATGTGATGAATTTTCTTTAGCCATTTAAAAAAATATATGAATGCTTTTTACATGGACTGAAGATGGTGAAAGATGGTTGGACACCGAGGGATTTAAATTGAGAAGTTAAAAGTGATGTGGTTTATGTGTATGTCGTTAGTTTTTTACAGAAACTAAACAGAAGGATGATTGTTGCAGCTTTTGAATTAGTTTAGGGATGTTTTTTGTTTACTATAGTAACACAAAGATATACTTTAGGTTTGAATCATAGTTCAGGGATGTTTTAACCCTAAAAGTCTCAAAATGTCACATTGTTTATATTTGAATCATATGTATGTACTTGTTTTTCTGAATGTTGCTAGTTGTGGTTGAATTAATGATTGTTGCAATGAACAGACTACAGTATCATATGGTGGTTTAAATCAAATCGTATGATGGTTAAATTTGAATCATATTGGGATGTCTTGATGATGCAATGGGAGGTCTGGAGAGAAAGTTGTTTTATGGGGAATTATGTCTCTTTACCATTTTCCATTTAGTCTTTGAAGTTTTAACTCTTTGGAATGTCTGTTTTTAGGATTTATTGATGATTCTTGATCCTTCACAATCTTGCCTTTTAGACCTTGAAGTGTAAACATTTTGGAATATCTTGGTGCAATGGGGAGTCCAGATTGAGATTTTCTTTACTGGGAATTTTTCTGATTCATGAGCTTTCATCATATTTTTAGTTTTTTGAAGACTGAAGTGTAAACATTTTGGAACATCTTTTGGGTGCAAGGGGAGGTCATGGAAATTTGTTTTCTTGTAAATTATTGCAGTCTCTTGTGAGCCTTCACTATCTTTCTTGTCTCTTTAACTGATAGTGCTTTGTGCTAATTGTTTACCACAATCCTCTTGTTGTGGCTGTTCACTTTTGTTGCTTTTGACAAATTGTTCTGAGACGGAGAATGTGTTTGCAGTTTCTCGATCTTTTTGGTGATGCAGTCTCAATTAAGAAGGCTGATGATCGGCATGCGAAACTCTTCTTACGCCATAGAACTTCTTCAGATTCAAAGAAACGTCATGCTGAAGATTATATAGTTTCTGAGAAAACAAAGTTGGCAAAGTCTGCTGTTGCAGCAACCAACCCTTCAGCGGTTGGTGCATATCCTGGAGCACAGAATCAATGGCCTGCAGGTTATGGTGCACAAGGTCAAACCTGGCCACAGGCTGCACAAGCCCAATCGCAGCAGTGGAATCCTGGTTATGCACAACAGGTAATGTTATGATAAATATTTCACAGTTTCACTAGAGATAGATTGCTACCTGACTCAAATCTCTTCTAGATTTAAAACCCTGATGTGAATCTCAGAGCAATGCAATGTGGGACCACTATGTATGTGTTGCTCCGGCTTTAACCAAAATGTTAATTTGGGTTAAATTGGAACTTCACCATGGAAGAAAAACAATTGAACTTCTTTATTCAAATGGATTTTTCTTTTTTTTGAGACAGTAACAACTTGTATTCTATTCCAAAACAAAAACCAGAACCCAGTGTTTTGGGAAGCGAGAAGCGGAAAAAAACGACGAGGGCTTGCTTCACAGAAGCGAGAAGCGTGAAGCGAAGCGCGCACTTTTTTTTAAAAAAAGCGACATTTAGTATAAAAATAAAAAAATATTAAATAACTAAAAAGAGGTAATATAGTCTTAGATTGAAAGAAATTACTTAGGAAAAAATACTCACAAGTCATAACATATAAAGCAAAAAATCAAAAACATAATTAAATCACAAAGATTGAAACTCCTATTCTTCAACAAGATCTTCAAACTCTTCAAGTGCCATAACCAAGGGTTCTACTTGGTCATCATCTTCTTCATCATCAGAAGGCTCATCAACAAGGTTTCGACTTGAACTAGAACCTCCAACTTCTCTTTCCTTGCCCCTTAATGTACTCCCCCTAAAACTATAAATATTCTCCTCAACCCCACTTGCCATAGAAACATCACCATAAGTGAGACTTTCTCCTTCATACACTTCTTCATCTTGGTGATCTTGTGGTGCTCCAGTTAACCATTCATTTGCCTCATCAATACTATCCAACAAAATTGGATCAATAGTATTACGAGCCTTATAACGACGCGCCAATGTTCTATTATATTTGATGAACACTAGATCATTGAGGCGTGTCAATTCCAACCTATTTCTCTTTTTACTATGAATCTGCACATAGTAGAAAGTAATTAATAGGGGGACTTGGGATGATTAAGATATCAATTAAATTAGTAATAATGTATTAATGTAATGTAGTTTCTCACATGTTCATACACGCTCCAATTTCTCTCACAACCGGATGCGCTACAAGTTAAACTTTGTACTCTTATAGCAAATTGTTGCAAGTTTGGGACATTATGACCATATTGCATCCACCATTCAACTGTAGAAGAGTTATTTTAAAAGATGTGTAATAACTTAAAAGTTGAAGTTGTAAACAGTTAAAAGATGAAATTCTCACCTGGTGACCTTAAGGTTCTAGCTCTAATGGATGATTCAATTCCAAGTAGGCCATCCGCTTTCATGTACACACCAAGCTCCTCCCCTATTTTGCCTTGCAAAGTTTTATCTGGGATCATCCTCTCAACACATTTATGATATCCCTCCCTCACTTCTTCAGTTAAAGTCTTCATCTCATTATTTTTATAGTAGAGCCCTGGGTTCAAAATATGTCCCGCTGCATGCAAAGGCTGATGAAGTTGATCTGTCCACTCTGCATCAATGATTTCAAAAACACTTTGATATTTCCTTGTATCATAATTGAATGCTTTTTCAATACTTTCTTTGGCTCTATCCATGGCTTCATAAATGTAACCCATTGGTGGTTTTTTGTCCCCATCTACCATATGAAGTACATGAATTAAAGGACCACCAACTCTGAGTGCTTGAACAACGTCATTCCAAAAAAAGGGACTAATGATATGTCTCGCAACTTCTTTACCAAGAGGTTCCTTTGAATAAATACTCTCATTCCATTCAGTTGACATAATCAAATTTCTCAAATTTTTCTTTTGCTTATAAAAACTATACAAAGTCAAAGAAGCTGTTGCGAATCTTGTCTTGGCGGGTTTTACCAAATTTCTTTGCTTTGTATATCTCCTCATCATATTCAACAACAATGCCCTTTGATTGATATAAGCATGTATCTTAACAGCGTTGCCAAAAACTGTCAAAAAATGACAGTTAAAATGTAAAGAAATCTAACATGAAGTTTAAAAAGCAGATTAAATATTGAGACTCAAGTTCACCTGTAGAATAAGGGGCTTGTTTGAAAATATCACCAAACATCAAGTTGATAAAGTGAGCAGCACAAGGAGTCCAGAAAATATGTGGGAACACTCCCTTCAACATGTTACCTGCTTTTTTGTTCTCACTTGCATTATCAGTCACAACTTGTACCACATTTTCCTGCCCTACTTTCATGATAGTCTTCTCAAACAAATTAAACATCTTATTAGAGTCGGTAGAAGAGTTACTAGCATCATAAGATTCAAGAAATACACTCCCTCTTGGAGAGTTCACCAAAACATTAATGACCATTTTTCCATTCCTTGCTGTCCATTTATCCATCATAATGGAACAACCATACGTTTTCCATTGAACCTTATGTTTTTTTCTACTATCTTGTTTGTCCTCTCCACCTCCTTTTTTAGAAAAGGAACTCTTACCTCATGATAGGTGGGAGGCTTCATTCCAGGGCCATATTGGCCGACTGCCTCAATGAATTCACCAAAACTATTTGTGTAGTTAACACAATTGAAAGGAAGTCCTGCATTATACATCCACCTAGCAAAAGCAGATACAACACGATCCCTCAAAATCTTTCTAGAAGATTCTAAGTCAAAAGATTCACCTTTTCTCTTTTCGTTTGATTTTTGCGAGAAATAGAGATTCAAAGGACCCTTGACGGTGCTATTGATGGAAGACCCACTCCCACTACATGAAGGCATCCTTTGTTGCTTTGAGGGAGGCCCCATTGGCATATTCACTTCAAATTCATCATCCATTTCATCATTATCAACAACATTAACCATGGATGCTTCATGGTTTAATTGAGTTTTAAACTCATTTTTCTTCAACATATATTCTTTGATCTCTTCTCTCACTTTATTCGGGACTTTCGGACATACTTTTACATCTCTATAGCCACCCATGAGAGCCTTTTGTGACGAAAGATTCCGCCATTGTATGTCACATCACAAAAGATACATTTGACTTTTGTGTTACTACCCATAGGAGTTCCATATGCCCAAGCCGGATCCCTCTTTTGTGACATCTTGAATGAGAAAATACAAGTTCACTAAATACTACAAACAAAAGGAAGTTTCAGAAAATAATAAAAAAAGGCGGCTAGCATACACACTGATTATAAAATTAAAAAAAAAAGAATTGAAAAAATTTAACAGAGGCAACAGTCAGTAAGAACTAAGAAGAAAAGAGCAGGCAACAGAGAATAGAGATGAAGAAAAGAAGAAGAAAAAAGAGATGAACAAATTACCTGCAGGCCTCAGCCGAGATCTTGAGGAGAGAAAGAAGGGAGACAGCCAGCAGCCTCAGTCGAGAACTTCACGAGAAAAAGAAGGGCGGCACCAGCAGCATCAATCGATAGCTTCAGGAGAGAGAAGGGAAAGAAAGTCGTGAGGAGAGAAGGGAAAAAGTGTCGCGAGAAGAGTTGTGAGGAGAGAGAAGTTATATTTCAGATTTTTTTTAAAAAACCTATTTTTTTTTAAAAAACCCCTATTTTTTAAAAAAACCCTAATTGTCGCTTTTTTATAGAAAGCGCGCTTTTTTGCGCTTTTTTAAAGGCGTCGCTTCTCGCTTTTTCCTCTGAAGCGGGTGCTTTTTTCAAATCGCCTCGCCTCAAGTTGAAAAAGCGCACAAGGGTCGCCTCGCTTTGAAGCGCGCTTTTAACAACACTGCCAGAACCTGCCACAATAAGTTACAGATTCCTAATTGCAATTCTGGAGAGTACCAGGAAGATCTTTAATCTATAGCAAAATTTACAAGGAATCTAAAACACCTTTGATTGATGCTAGATCTACCATGTACTCCTGTTTACACCAAAAAAGGAACAAAACTAAGCAGTTCATCTTATTCTTCTGGATGGAATTGCTCTTGTTCTGGAAGCATATGAGATTTCTTTCTTTCCACACGGACCACCAGATGCAAGCCGGAATGATTTTCCATCTTTTCCATCTTTTTGAAACTTCTTTCTCTTTAATGTGAATCAGCGCTCTGTGTAGTTATCTTTTCTGTGGACAAATGTTTAGTACTCTGCTGTCCTCAATTTTCCACTTCACATATTTTTTATCCCCTTCCCATGGGGATCCTTGATTGCATGTGTTTCAGTTTTTCATGTGGCCATTAAATCATGCAGGGGCTGATGTGCATGTGTGTGGTTTTGTATTTTGCTCAGTCTGTATGTTCTTTCAGACACAATTATTCATTTGCAACAACATATACATAGTGTAATGCACAAGTGGGGTCTGGGGAGGAGGATGTACACATTTACTACCACTTGTAGAGATAGAGAGGCTTTTTCTGATAGACCCTGGGCTTAATATAAAGCATTTCCAGGCAGTTTGAAAATGAATATACGAAAATGAGAGCAATAGCAACAAAATAATGTGAAATGGGAGCAGCACATGTCACAATTATTGTTAGTTACTTATTTCTTTTTCTAGAATACTCTTCAAAGAATCTATGCTATCAGTGGATTTTATTTTAAAAATCTTGTGTTTGTTGAACTTTAGGCGGCATATGGTGCTTACGGCAGTTATGGAACTGGCTATGCACCTCCTCAAGCGCCTGCAGCATCAGTGCCCTCCAGTGGTGGTTATGGTGCTTATCCTTCAACATTCCCAGCCCAGGTATGTGGAACGCCTTTTATGTATCAGCCTTTTGTTGCCCGTTTGCATACTGTGTCAAATTGCACTGTTACGCCTTTTATGTATCAGCATTTTGTTGCCTGTTTGCAAACTGTGTCAAATTGCATTATTTTTTCGGTAGGGATACTTTAATCAATCATCTGTATTGCTTTCATGGTTCCTTTTTGTTTTTATAGTTAACATTGATGTCCTTGTATGCTAATAATGGTTTAGCGTGAAGGTATAATTTGATTTCTGGTAAGTTTCCCGGTTTCCTGTCTGAAAATGTCAGTGAGGCCAAAAGGCTTTCATAACTTATTTCATCCCCCAAATTGTAGCATTTCAGTGTTCAAATTTCTAAATTGAATCACTTTATTTCCATTTTGATACTGAAATAAGTTGCCAGTAGAATTAGGAAGTAGTTAAATCCAATATCTCTATTATGTTGATTTCGGTTGGTCAAAATTACAAGGCGCATTATACTTTGTTCCTGTGTAAGATAAATATTGTACATTTATTTTATAAAAAAAAAATTATTGGTAAAATATCTTTTAATCTTTAATTTTAACTAATACTTAATTTATTTAATTTTTGTCATTGTGAAATGTTTTGTCCATGTGAAGTGTGATGTGTCAATTTTTTCAAGTAAAAGAGAGTATTACACACACCTTGATGAGAGTATTATAAAAGAATGTGTGTTTCTCAAACTAATAAGTGATAGTTTAGGTATACACTCACAATAGTTTAGGTACGAAACCAAAAAAGGATATAGTTTAGGTGTGTTTTTGACACTTGTCTCTTTTATAAATGATTGGAAGAGAAGCATGTAAAATGATAGCGTGGTATACCAGGAGAATGTCCCCTCAACATGGACAATTTGACGGTGAATGTAAGGTCTTATTAAGGGCCTATGAGCATTGTGAGGAAGAAAAATCAACAGAAGTTCGTGTTACATGAAACTAAATGCACCTATTTCTTTGTATCAATGCATATGAATATAATGATAAATGAGGACATGATTACTTATTATGGTATTGTCATACTTCCTCTCACAATTAGTCAGACCTTTAGAGCTACAATTAGTACTACGAGTATAAGATATCAATCCCAGTTAGTGTCTGGTGGTAGCTTCTCAAATACATTGGCCATTGGGGGAAGTTCAATCTAGTGGACACAATAGCAAAGATTGAAATTCAATGGATAATCTGCTCAGAAATTAATCTAATATGTTAATTCGTCTCCTTCCTATGGTGTTCCTTACCTCGGAACATTTCAGTAATATATATGCTGCTATGCTGTATTAAAATTGATAATGCCTTGTGTTTGAACCTTTCTTTTTATCAGTGAAATGATGCACACTTGTACTCAAACCCCCTTTTCTACACGAGTATACCCTTAGGCGTTGATTGTTTTCTGTCACTAAGTAAAACTTTGTTATAACTCTTCAGGCCTTCCCTCAGCAGAATTATGCACAGCCAGCGGGCGCGGCTGCAGGCGCTGCCACTGCCGCTTTGACTCCAGCACCACAAGCTACAACTGTTCCTCCTACAGCATATTACGGCAGTTACTATTGAAATAACAGTTCTCTGCGTCAATTTTTTGCTGGATGTAGTTTGTATGTTCCCCTCAACGGCCAGAATATGTTGCAATACCATGAGTTCTTCTACATGGTTGTAATTTGATTTAATGAGCAGTCGGATAGGAAATTAAGCAATCTAGTGATGTCTTACCTTAGGCTGTTTGCTTTTCGATAATTAATGTACCATACTTTTGGTTTTAACATATGCTAGTATGCAGGGTTGCAAAGATGTTATGTTTTCCTTGTGCGATTTCTAGTCTCTGTAGGAGTAATTTTATATTGGAGGATGCATGATTATCTGCTACCAGGAAGTGTCAACTAATGTTACTGTATTCTTCATTTCAGAGGATATCTTTGATTTTTTGATAGCATGAAAAGGTGACTGGCTTATAACCGGTTTGCTTTGGTGCTTGTTTGGCTATAGCTATGAGAGGCAACTTGATACGTTGGAAGAAAGTAGCTTTTAGTTTTGGGGAAAAAACCTAAGCACGAATAGTATACTTTCAACGGGATTAGATATTTTGAATCAATTAAGTTGATATTCTAATGAAAATAATGCACAATCTGCCGACTTGGTAAACTAAATAAAATACGTTGCTAGTGTCTACTTGTCAATAGATACTTTTTAGTATGTTTAAATAGTACAGGATTCGATTTTTATTTGATATTTTGAATCAATTAAGTTAAGAACAGTATGTGTAAAATATATTCCACACACGATAATGTTCAAACATGTATTTACTAGTGTTGGACTAGAATGAAACGGTATTGTATTTTTCAATTATCGTACAGCATTAAAATAATATTGTATTTTGCATGCGTATTAAATAAAGACTACTATCTTGCATATTAAAAAAAAAATTGATTTTCAAATTAAAAGAAAACTTGTTGGAGTTTTGAAGAAAGAAAAAATACAAGTGGGATAGTGCGAGTTGATAGGAAATTATAATAGAGCCAACGAATTTGTGAAAGAGAATAACCAAAAAAGGGGAAATAATCATATTATTGATTGAACAACGAAATTGGGGAGATTTGGAAATTAAAAAATTAGCTTGCCTAAAAGAACATATTATATCCTATATAACTACCTCTATATTGGATCAAAGATAGAAATAGAGTCTACCCTTGTTGTATTGGCCAATAAAGAATCACATGTTCAGACTGTGCATGTTACGGAGATGATGATGTTAAAGATGTTAAAGATGGATGTATATTTGGTCTTCTACTGATGGAGTTGATAACCAAAACGAAGTTTGATTTATTTCAGCCTTTCTTTCTCAATATTTGTAAACCTGACTCTTTTGTTCATAAATGAAATGCTTCGAAGATGTTGATTATCAAACTGCATCTGATAACACAGAGCTAACTTGCCGTTGCATGAGTCTTGATCCAGGTGAAGATGGTTTTTTTCGATTTGGAAAAACTAAGGACGAGAGTGAAGGTAGGGGGTAAAACGGAAAAGAAATGAAAATAAGTCCACAGTTATCCCTTTGTTTAGTTAATTTTGAACTTTGTACTTACTAAATTGCAAGATTGTTGCAATGCAAGTGATGGAACTTTATGAATGATCCCTGAATTGGAGATTTTCAAATTATTAGCTATCACGGTTTAGTTGAGGTCTATCAGAAACAACCTCTTACTAGGGCTATAGGTTGTTCGACATGCATTAACTACCTACCAGGTTTACGATGAATAATGAATCTAGAATGGTTGTTTGAAGTCTATTTGTCCTTTCTCTTCAACTTCTCAACTGTTCTTAAATAAGTTAATGTTAAATAGAGCTATCAATAGTGGAAATGTTATTATGTGTTAAAGTGGGGATTTAGTTAGTAATGGTGACAAAATTGTAGTGGTACAAGGTGGTTTCTATTTAGTCATATCTGAACCTTTGTCTAAGTTTTTCATTGATTCTGAAGATGGGAGATTTCATTAAGTCTATCCATATGCTTCGGACTCACTCATAACATGCATGTCGGATCTGAGCAACCTAGTCCATAAGTGACCATTTGAGATAGTATTTCTGTTTCTTTTGAATGAACTGTGTCTTGATCTCTGTGACTTTTAAATGACTCAAAAAGACCATCCTTTGTTTGTTTGGAACCTAAGAAAGTGTTTAGAATGGTATATAATATGAATAAAAACATAAATTTCTTATTTAGAAAGTTACTCTTCCTCTTCCCTGAAGTTCACAATTATATAATTTTCATGCAGTTGGAAATTCACATGCTTGGTTCAAGAAAATTATTGTTCTTTAAGTTACACAAGTCAGCATATAATTTTCTTTTCCATGTGTTATTATTAGCTTGTATTAGGTAAAGTGAAAGAAATTGGCCAATATGATTTTTTTATTCATTTGCTTTCCAATATGATTCATCTGCAAAATGGCAATCCATTTTACTCAGCAAAACATTAAAATTGTGCAATATAACACTAGTACTACAACAATCTAGAGAATGAATAGCTTTTTGGTGATAAGTCTAGCATGCACGCGACACAGCATGCCAAAAGATTTTAGTTACTACAAGATATCCTAATACCCTCATGCATTGCTGCATCACAGTTATGTCAACTATATGGAAGGCTTACCTGGAAGAAGAACTACAAATAAAACTAACTGATATGCTTGCACATTTGGAATGTGAGCAATTTTGTTCCAGTCCTCCCCTATCTCCTTCCCGCAGCGCTTTGCCAGTTCTGGACAATAAACAATTCGCGATGCTTGCAGATTCTCTGTGTCCATAATCCCAGCTGGAAGTGATTGCAGATACGAGGGCAATTCCAGATCACCAGTGATTGAAGAGAGTGTAAGTTTTGAATCCTCAAAGGCAAGGTCACCATCTCTGGACAAAGAGCAACTACTAGTCTTGTAAGGGTTGTTAGGTGTTGCAATCCCTCTGATAGTCTTTAGCATCTCACAATCCTGAATGAATAACTCCATGAGTGAAGTTAAACCTTCCAGTACTTGCTCAGGGAGACTCTCTAGTGAATGACAACTTCGAATATCCAAACGCTTCAAAGCAGTTAGACTGGCCATGCTGGTAGGCAGCTCTTCAAGTTTTTTGAAGGATGTAATACTCGTGGACTCGAGATAGGCAAGGTGTTTGAACATTTCTTCTAGGGTGAAGTCTGTTCGGCATTGTGACTAATATACAACAAGGTGAGAGTGCTAAGATCAGATATGGAGCTCAAAGTCGTTGCATCTGTGATCTGTCTTTGCCTCAAACTTCTAATTTCTTGACACAAGCAAGGGTTTGAAAGACGAGCATAGTGCAATCATGATTCTCCATTTCCTCGAGTATGGGAAATTGATCCTTTGCTTCCTTTTGTAGCAATCCTTTCAGGTTCGGAAAGCCTTTTATGACAAGGCATCGCAAGGATGGAAACCTTCTACAGTCATGAACATTGTCTTCAATATAATCTACAGACCCGCCAAATAAGCATAAACTTTCTAGACAAGGCAGATCTCCAAAGGGTGGAAGGCGTAAACAGTTTTTACAGCTATCAACATCAATAGAGACAACATTTTTCAAAACTGAACGTTCATCCAGTCCGGGAGACAGAGACCTCTGAAGCCAGTTACTTTTAAAGATTTCAGGTTGGGGTGTGGTTTGAGGGACTTAAGCACTTCCTCATCCAAATCATTTTCTGATTCATATCTATCGGACCTATCCCAGCTCATACATAAAGAGTAGAGATTTGCTTAAGCAAATAAATTGGCTTCTTTTGCATCTATATCCTTCCTCACTCTTTCAAGATGCGTGATTGAAAGTGAGCCACCAAGGTTTAGGTTTCGTAGTTCACCAAGTCGATAACCTTTTCTCCTACCAATAACAAAGCAATCTAGAGTCTTAAGGCATGTCAACGATCCTATTCTTGGTGACATAGAGGTCAATGGACAGTAATCGAGCAGAAGATTCCGAAGACTACTTAGTTTACTTGTTTGCTTTGGCAGAAAAGAAAGTGAGCGACAAGATTTTAGATTAAGAGTCTGGAGATTTTGAAGCTTGCATAACCTCTTAGGAAGACTACGAATTCTAGTGCTTGACAGTTTTAGGAGCCTTAAATGTATTAGATTTCCGATGAAAGATGATAATTATATACTCTCGAGTAACTCATATCAAGCACCCTTAGTGAGACAAAGGTTTTCAGGAGTGAGGAAGAGTAAGAAGACACTGTTTTAGAAAAACCAATGGACAATATGCTATTTTCCTCTCCTACTTGTACTTGACGGATATTGCTGCTTGATGTGTTTGCTGAAATCAAAGATGTAGCCAAATCATGAATGACGTCATGCATCTTGAAATAAGTTTTACCAAATTCATCCACTACAACCTCTTGGAAAAAGGACCTCATGTATAATTATTTCCGTACTTCATTACCGACATCCTCTAGCTCCAAATTTCCTTTCGATGAAAGAAAACCATGTGCCATCCAAAGAGTGATTAAATTATCCTTTTCCATTTTGGTGTCCTTTGGGAACACTGCACAATATGCAAAACATTGTCTCAAATTAAATGGAAGGTGATGATAACTCAGCCTCAGGGCAGGTAGAATAGAACTTTCATCTTGAGGCAAATTCCAAATCTCATTATCTCTCACATGTTCCCATTCACTTTCTTCTCTCCTGAATCGTAAAATAACTCCAAGAGTCTTGGACGCTAAAGGCACACCACCATATTTCTTCACAATTTCCTTTCCGATGGCCACAAGATTTAATTTATTTCTCTTTTTTGCCCAAACGCGCATTGCATAAACAACAGTAAACCATCATGTTGAGATAAACTTGACAAATGATAGTACTAACGTTCCCATAATTGATCCAACCTTTTCAAGACGAGTAGTTGCTAGAACAGAAGCACCTCTTGCTCCAACCTTCAAGACTGCTCTTAACTTAGCCCACTTATCTTGATCATCACTCCAAACATCATCTAAGACAAGCAAGTATCGTTTTCTAGTCAATAACTCCTGAAGCTTCTTCTGAAACGAAGCCAAGTCCTCAACATACAGAGACCCTTCTTTCAACAACCTCTTCTCATCAAAATCATCTGAGACACAAATCCATATTTTGGGATTGAAATGCTCAGTTACCCTCTCATCATTGAAGATCATTTGGGCAAGTGTCGTCTTTCCTAGTCCCCCATACCAATTATAGGTAACACAAGAAGTTCTTCGGCAACATTAACATTGTTGATCAGAATTTTCACTATCTCATCCTGCTCTTTGTCCCTTCCATAGACTTCAGGTTCAGTAAAAACAAAACCTGTTGGAAAATTTTATTGCAATTGATCTCATTAGAAGGAGTCAGCAAGAAATGTAAAAGCTTTTGCAAAATAAAGCAAATTAAACACC